ATGAAAGAGTGTGACCTCAGGCAGGAGTCACCAGATGCAGAATTGAATCAGTTTCCTGAGGACGATGGCTGAAGCCGAATCTTTGCTAGGCAGTGTTGGTGAACACCAGCAACGAACTTCTGCTAAAGGCTCAGCTGGGCAGCTCTCCCTGGATGGATGTAAAAACCTGTCTGGAGAGAAACAAACCAGAGCAGGAAAAGCCCAGTTTCAGCCGTATTGCTGCGTCTATACTAGACATTTCTGGCTGCCCACCTGGGCTGCCCAGTGATCCCCCTTTTACACCAAGCCTTGAGCAGCAGAGCTGAGGCGGGAGTCTGCAGCAGAGGCTCAGATGGGCAGGGCCGGGTGGTGGGTGCCAGTGGTGTGCAGGGTGCTGGCCATCGCCCCGGCCAGCGGCTCTCCACGGGAGGGAGCCCGGCTGGCACGGCGCAGCCAAGCCTCCAGCCGGCAAAGGGCCAAAAAGCCTTTTGACAGGCAAGGCTGGAGCTACTGCAATCTAAACATTGGGAAAGCAAACTACCCCGCGCACCTCGCCAAGATGTCAAAGCCTGAACCTCGTGGCTACATTCAGGAGCATTACCGTGTTTCAAAAGTGATCCAAATGCCAGCTGCAGAAGCTGGCCGTGCTGTGAAGGGCCTTCCTCAGGGCTGTCCTTAGCACGCAAGACTTGAAACCTGCCAGGCAAGCACAGCCCCAACGATGGTCAAGATCCACCTCTCCCTCTGTGCAAGAAAAAAAATGTCATGGTCACCTCCCAGCGTAACTTGGCAGAGAAACATTCAGAAAACTTATTCCTGTTGTGTGGGAGCAGACAGACACGGTGTCAATTTTAGAGGATAACAAAGTCTAGCTGCCCTGTATATTCCATCTTAGCCGTTCCCCACACCTGAGGAAAGAAACCGGTGGTAAAGGAAAGGGCTCTGGTGGGTCTGGATATCTGCAAAACTGCAAACCTTGAATCCCCTAAAGCTTCATTGTCACCCACTGGTGACTGGCAGCATTGCCAGTTTTCCCCCTGGTTCATGGCACTGAAATTATTTTCCCCAAGTGGCATGAGCTACAGTTTATTTTTTTAAAACAACAAGTACCACCTTCTTTTTTTTTTTTTTTATTTCCTCTCTGTTTTTCTTTTGGAAATAGCAGGAGTCGGATTTCCTTAGGGTGGTTTTTAGCCCAGTTTATAGTTCTTCCAACACTCACACAGAAAGTAGGTAGAATCTTTAATTAAAACATCGTTTCTCCCCAGTGTTCAGTAACCCTCATTATTGTTAACCAAACATTTAAAGGAGAGTCCTAAAAGAGATGGTTTAAAGTCCCTCTCTGACTCATGTCAGCTTTCACCATCTAGGAACATCTTCTGACGTGGGCTCTCTGTTTTAATACTGTGTCTCAGAAAGTAGTCAAGTCTCCAGTTCCTCCTGTAAAACTAAAACACAGACTACTCTCAGATCTCTTCATCCATCACAGTGAAATGAAAAAGGAGAGACATATTTTTCTGCCTTTGCTGGGCACCTCTAAATCCAGAGAACAACTGGGCTACTGTTGTTTTTCATTGTCGCTTTTCCCTCCCAGTGATTACAATGAAGCTCACTTTTGACAGCTGCCACTGAATCAGCCCTGCTATGTCTGAGCAGGATCATCCCAGGGACCAACTCTGCAAGATCTCAGTTGTCCGTCTGCACCTTGTACAATCAGCTCTGTCACTACGGGATAGCTGCCTGCACAGGATATGTCTGAGGGGATATGGGCACACTTCAAAATGCCTTTTGACATCCCTGTTCCACTCCCAGAATGACTCATGTGTCAGCGGGGGGGGGGGCAGAGATTGAGCACGGGACACACCACGAGTGGGGGAAGGAGCTGAAACAGGTCCTGGCCAGGCTGATGGCACTAGGGCACCTCAAGCCTTGCTGCTAAGCTGCTGCGGGCGTCTGGCACGATGACCACACGGTGGGGTTAGGAGAGCTGCCTCCAGGCTCTGCCACCCGCGAGGTTCTATTTGTAGGGGCCCTCTTTTTCTCTTTTAATGGTGAAGGTCTCCTTGGGATAGAGCTCGGATTTTCCTCTTGCTGGCATTACTGGCTGGTGAGAAGGTTGTTACGGAAAACAGCTGATAGCAAACCGAGCTGCTGCTTTTTCCTTCCGCCCTGCGCCAAAAGGGAGTGTTTTCTGGTGGAAAATGGCCAGGATTCATTTTAAAACGTTACAGCCAACATTTTCCAGACTGTTTTTGCCTGGTGAGATAAACACCTACCCAGATAACACACGCTTAGCCGGATATATGGTTATGGGTGTGCTTTTCTTCGCAGAGATGTATGATTTATACAAACATATATAACAGACGCCCTATCCCCCCCCGGGGAGGGGGCGCGGGGCTCCATCGCCGCTCCCCGACACCTCTTCTTTCTTTCGGGGCAGCCCCCGCGGCGAAGGCCGGGGACTGGACGGGAT